ATATATATATATATATATATTTATTTATTTATTTATTTATTTATTTTGAAAAGGGAGAAAATACATAATTACCCCATCAAAGTAAGATCTATTTTTTAAAAGACACTTCAACTTTACAGGGGTCCTAATACCACCTTAAATACTTTTAAAGTGTTTTAAATAACCCATTTTTTAACCAACCTCAATTGCAAGAAGAGAAGTGCAATCACGCACCAATTACAATCTGTCACGTATTAATTTTAATTTTAATTTTTCTTATTTTATTAATTTCATTTTCATTTTCATTTTCTTTTTCTTCTTCTTCTTCATTACCCTACTCTGTTCTATTTCTTCATTCTCTTTCTTCTTCTTCATAACCAAATTCTCCAAGTACTGTCATTTTTTTTAATTCGGATAGTCTTCATCACGTCACTATTATTTTACCATCTTCATCATTAATATTATTAAATTGTTGTTAAATCAAAAATAAAATTGCTAAAAATTATAAATTAAAAATTAGTAATCACCTCCAATCTACAATTTCCTTTTCAAAATTACAACAATTATGAAGCGGAACACCATTACGTTGAAGGCAATGATATTCTATAATACAAATTGAATAAGTTTCTTTATTAACATGTTAAAGTATTACATATTTTATTTTTTTTAACAAAAGGAACAATGTTATCAAAGAGGTTTACAATTATTACTATTTTGAAAAAAAATAAGAGCGAAACAAGAAAAAGGAACAAAGGGAAGCAATAAGACAAGGGAAAAAATGAGTGAAATGAATGGATCTTTAGAGAAAGGATAATATGTTCTTTGAAAAAATTGGGGAAGAAGATAACAAAATTAAAGAATTGAAGAAGTATAATAAATAAATAAAAGAAAAGAAAAAAGAATATTTCTAATTAAATAAATGTGTAAATAAATATTTGTTTACTTTTTGATTCAGCTCAATCTCTATCAGAGAGTGAACTACACTCTATATGTCACGTAGGCACGTAATAGAACAATAAATTCATTATAAATAAGAATAAGGGGATACTAGGACCCCCGCAAAGTTGAAGTGTCTTTTTAAAAAAAAAACAGATCTTACTTTGATAGGGTAATTATGTATTTCCTCTAAAAAGAATAACTATTGAAAGCATCTAAGTAATAAATCCACCCTTAAATAGAAGTTCTCCTAATAAATTTTTTCTAAGTTTTCAATAGCACATTAAAAACAACAATAGTTTATCTACCTCTAAGTCAATAAAGATATGGATCAAATTCGAGCTTTTCTGGGAGTCATTATATCAATACAATAAGTGTCAAGGGCAAGTACAATGATATATTTACATAGCTACGATAATTCATTATATTTTAGATTACGATTTTAATTGCAATATTATTATATATATATATATATATATAGCTATTTGTGGGAGTAGTTTATTTACTAATTAGAGTATTATTATTATTAAGTAGTAGTCTCAATAGGATACTCCCAAATTGTGCTTTGTGAATCTACAAAGCACTAAAAACCAAATCCAACATCTGCCAAAAATTTGTTCAAGAAAACGCGCACGTCACACCGCGCTCACGTTAGAAAAACTTAAACAAAACGTAAAGAAAAGTCAATTGGTGCACGTTAGATAGTACCGCTTTACTTCTTCGCTAAATTAGAAATCGCAGACGATCGGAAGGAGAAGAAATACAGAAACTCGTGGTCGCCGTCACGATCACTTCCTTCTGATCGTCTCCGATCACTTTTCCGACCAGTTCATACCAATTCTGATTCATTATACAGAATCTGTATTAGAAAAACGTAAAAATGTGGGTGTTTTATCTGATCTCATTGCCTTTAACCCTAGGCATGGTGATTTGGACTCTAAAGTACTTTTCTGGTCCAGAAGTGCCTCGTTACGTGTTCTTTACAGTTGGTTATACCTGGTTTTGCTCTATCTCCATTATTATCCTTGTGCCTGCCGATATTTGGACGGTACATTTCTATCATTCTTCTTCAATATGTCATTTTAGTTCAAATTTATAATTTTTGCTCTCCTGAGATAATACATTGTTTTAAAAATTTATAATGTTTTGCTGACCTCAAACCAGTTATATTGGAAGACTAGAATATCTCGAAATTCATGTGGAATTGGCGAATGAATTAGATTACAATAAAAGCTACTGAATTACCTGGGAGATACGGATTAGTTGGGATTGGATACTATTTGTCTTAAAAGATGAATTTTGAGTATTAGAATGAAGTAGGTCCAACAGGTGGAGTACTAGAATGAAGTAGGTCCAACAGGTGGTGGAGGAGGGGGGGGGGGGGTTATGTATGTGGAACAGCTAGTCCTTTCAAGTCTTTGAGGGTTATGATGAATGGTCTTTCTAATCAAATGTTTTGCATACAGTTTTAATTCTAATCTTTAATCAGTAATTTAAGGAATAACCTTGAGTCATCGTGGTTCATTTTAGAAGACATTTTTTTACATTTGTTGATGGTGACTGAACAAGTTTGTTCATGAAACTAGAACTA